GAATACTGTCATATAGCAATATTCAAGACTGTAATTCACTAAGGTAGATGTTTTTCCATTTATAGTTCACAAGTTACTTGGTCCTGGACCTTTCCCTGTGAATGGTGTCTTAATTAGTAATTCATTTTCCTTAGTTGCTTTAGGTCTATTCAGAGTTTGTTTTTCTGAGTCATTTTTCAAAGCTTTGGTATTTATAGAATTTTTTCATTTCATCTATGGTATTAGCATTCAGTTGCTTATAGTTCTCCCTTGTAACTTTGTGAAATTCTGTGAAGTAGGTAGTATTAGTTCCCTTGTTTCTGATTTTAATGATTTATATCTTCTTTCATTTTTCCATAGTCATTCTGTCTAAAGTTTTGTCACCTTTGTTGGACTTTTCAAAGAATGAATTTTTGATCTTGCTGAAATTGCTATTGTCCTATTCTGCCTGTTACTAATTTCTTCTTAATATCTATTATTTTCTATCTGCTTGATTTGGATTTACTTTTATTTTTTAGTTTCTGATAGTAGAAAGATAGGTAACTAATTTGAGAGATCTTTCTTTTTAAATGTAGGTAAGTTTAGATATAAATTTATCTCTACATTAGTTGCATCTCATAGATTTTGTTATACAGTGTTTCTGTTTAATTCCTCTCAAAATAATTTTCCCTGGGCTTTCTTTTGAGCCATTTGTTACTGAGGAGTGTACTTTTTAATTTCCTCCTTGTGAATTTTCTTGTTTCTTGTTTTTCTTCCCTTCTGAAGTTTAATTCTATTGCAACTGACAAAATTTATGTCATTTCAGTCTTTTCAAACGTATGAAGATCTTTTTGCTGGCCTAACATGTGGTACATCTTGGACAAATTTTCATTTGTACTTGAGACAAATGTGTGTGTTATTTGATACAGCATTCTGTAGATATTTAAGTCCATTTGTTTATACTACATTTCAGATCTTCTGTTTCCTTGTTCTTTCACCTAGCTCTTCTGTCCATTGCTGAAAGTTGACTATTGAAGTTATTGTATTTTCAATTCCAAAATGTCCACCTCATTTGTTTAAATAATTTCTACATCTTCATTTATATTACATCTGGCTACATATCCTTCTCATATTTTCCACTACTCCTTCAACATAGTTTCTTTTAGATCTTTGAATATAATTGTAATAACTGTCTTACAGTCTTTGTCTACTAAATCTAGCATCTGACTTCCTTTGTGGCAGTTTCTATTGACTACATTTTAAAATGTATGTAGGCCATACTTTCCTCTGTCTTTTTAATTTGCTGTTGAAAAAGTAGACATTTAAAGTAACATGATGAGTAACTCTGAAAATCAAAGAACCCCTCACTATCTGGAACTTGTTGCCATTTCTGATCATTGTCTTGGTGTTGATGAATGCTACTGCTGTTTGCTTGGTTAGTGACTTCCTTGAATTAATTTTGTAAAGTGTATTCTTTGTTATGTGAAGCCAATGAAATTTCTTCTCAATTAACTTGGTGACCATATAATGATTAGAGAGTAATCTGAAGGTGAAAGATTAGGGCCTTCTCAAATCACTCCTGCATATAGGCACAGCCATTCCTATGCACATGCCCTTTGCTATTTTTAGGAATATGTTAGACATTTTCAAATCCCCAGATAATCATCTCATTCTTGTTTTTCTTTTTAAGGTTTTTGGTCAACTTCTTGTTAGCTACAACTTTATCATCACTTCCACTAACTGTAATGTTAAACACTTCCCACTGTTTTCCACAAACATCCTGAGATAAGACTCACTCACATAGAGGTAGTTTTGAGTTAGGTCAAATAAAGATAAGCCCTAAGAATGAATCTCTATGTAGGAGCTGCTAGAAAGGTCAATTTGTAATACTTCACTAGTGGTGGGACTTTTAGGAAGCCTCAGACCTCCTTTCTGTCTCACTGACTGCTAGCTTGTTAGTTTTTCCAGCTATAGAGCTGTGAACCTGGTGAGTTTTAATGCTAATATGGAATAAGAAGAGGATGCCATAAAACCCATGGCTCATACTGACTTTCAGTTATCTTTCTTCTACTAAAGTTTCTGTGAGTATGCCAAGACTGTGATTAACAACACCGAGTTTTTAAACAGTTACTCTTAACCATTATTGCCAGTGTTCTTATGACTAGCAGAGTTTCAGGGATTTTTATTCTTCTGTTCTGGAAGTACTGTCTTGTATGTCTCAGTTGTGCCTTAACATCGGGAATAAAGTCACTCTATTTTACTCTATTCCACTGTATTCCACTCATGTCCCACATTTTAATGGTCTTCTTTTTAGTCTGTCTGATGAATAGGCTCAGTTTGTATACTTAACTATCTGAAAACCAAGAGACATTTTTTTAGATTTATTTCTCTTTGCTGTATTCCCTCAACTCATTTTCAATCCATCACAAAGTCCAGTGCATAGTATTTCCTAAATGGTTCTCAAATCTATCCACTTCTAAACATCTCCAAGGAAAAAAGTATTTCTGGAGTTTTCATTATCTGAATTCTGAACATTCATAATCTTTCAAATGATCCACTTCCTTCGAGGTCAGCCTCATCTTCTCATTTACCCATATTGAAGTTTATGTAATTTTTAAAACACAACATGCCCATGTCACTTCTGGTTAAGACTTTTAAGTCACTTCCTGTTCTCTTAAGAAAAAAATACATTTTCTATTATCTACTATCTCTTACCACAAGGTATGAATATACATTCTTCCATCTGCCTGGAAAATTTTCCTCTTCCCCGTATCTAGGGGACTTTCATTTACTCTTTCTGTCTTACCTCAAGTGTGACACTATCAGTGAAGATTTTTCCAGTGCTCTGAAAAAAATCTCAAAACACCATTCACCTGTCTTTTCTAGCAATTATTATGAGGGCAATTTCACATTTGTTCCTGTACTATTGAATGGATACCTGTCTCATCTATCAGACTATTAGCTCCATGAGGGCAGAGAATCTGATTTTGCTTACACTTGTGTGAGCAGAATTTTAGCATAATGAGAAATGTACATTTTGCAATCAATAAATTTTTTTTTTCCTTTGATACCCGGAATCAAACTCAGGACCTTGAGCCTGCCAAGCAGGCACTGTGCCACTGAGCTATATCCCCAGCCTGAAATCAATAAACATTTGTCAAATAAATGAGTGTTGATAGATGATCTGCTCTAAAGTTATAGTGAGACAAGCAAGATTAATTCTTTCCCTTTCAGCAAAGAAGTTAAACAGTATAACTGTCAAACACCCAAAGGGATAGGTCTAAGTTTGTCTGACTTTCCTTTATTTTTCTCTTCTCTCATAGAATTCGTTTTCCAAAAAAAAATTCAAATCACAGTTCAAAGGAAAAGCAAATGTAGAAAACTTATGAATGTAATTTAGAGTTAATCAGCATAACTGTATTTTTAAAATTATTTTGATACTTGCATATTATATTGATTTTATATGTTTATTAATATGTAGTGCTAATAAGCTAATAAGTATTTTCTATTTAACAGTTATTCCCCAATCTAGCATCATCAAATATGGTGAAATCTTTTAATTATCTCGAGCTGAAGGCTAGCAATATTTTCAAAAATAATTGTAAGTCAAAAGCAGGGTGATTTTAAATGTTTTTCTGACAGTTTTCAACAGGAAAGCCTTTGAAGTTATTGATTTGTGGTTAACTATTTTTCCATGAATGTCTATTGGTGGAAATGTGATTAGTCTCTTAAATGACTGAGTTGTTTCTTTGTATTGTACACAGTGAAAAAGAGATTTCCTGAGAATTGAGTTAGGGTCTATCCTTTGGTTCTAGTGTCAGATGTGCACGGTTCCAATGACTCACTATTCTGACCTGATATCGTCCTTGTGCAATATCAGTTTCCATTTCAGAAAGATTGCCAACCTCACTTAATTTAGCTGAGAACTGTCCTTTCAAAGCTAAATATGTTGTTCTAGGTTTAATCTGCTTCTGATGGCAGCTTTGTTTTTCTTTGCTTACCTTCTTAAAAGCATTCAAACTTTAACAATATCTAGGATGAATGGTGTCAATTTTAGATTGATTTTTGGCATAGAACTGTCCTTGCATTATAAGCTGAACGATTTCTACCCAGAGATAGTTATTTCTTAGGAAATATGGTGTGATTTATAGTATTTTTTCTTCAAATGTAAGAATTTTTTCTTTATTATTATGCTGATTTTTTCCTCCAAATATACAAATGAACTGCCATTTCATTGTATTGCTTGCTGTAATTTCCCAGTTGTTATACTAGTGATTTTATACTTTTTTCCAGAGTACAATTCTTTAGATAAATATGTCCCCAGTAGATTTTTATGTTTTAACAGTGTCCTTTTCTCTCTTTTTTGTGCTATTCTGAAGAACCTCTGAATGACTTTATTATATTCTGAGCATGATTATTGTTTCCTGCTATTTTTGTCTTTTCTACTTCAAACTGAGTTCCTTATTTCTCTAAAATTTTTAGGATAGGAATCCATTAGTTGTCAATGCAAAAGCTGCAAAAATTTTCAAGTAAACTATTTTAAGAAAGAATATTACTGTGAGAATAAACATATTTAGAAGTTTTCATTCATTTTATTTTGCCTTGTTAAAATAATTTCTACATCTCATAGTGTAAGATATGGCTATCTAAATAACCTTTGAGTGTTTTCTGTCAAATTTCAAAATAAATGTTTAATTTTAGAGTATTTTTACATTTACACAAAGCTTGTAAAACTAGTGCATCATTCACATCTACCTCACACTTACTTTTCCCTCTTAGCAATTTATATTAACATGATAAATTTGTTACAATTAATATGACACAACATTGGCACATTATCATTAACTGACTTGCATAGTTTGTTGAGATTCTGTTTTTATCTAATGACCCTTTTCTGTTCCAGGATTCACCCAGGAACCCACATTGCATTAGATATTTCTTAGTCTCAGTGGTGACTAGGAAGTCCTGAGCTTCCTAGTTTTTGATGACCTTGGCATTTTTGAGGTGTACTGGTCAGATACTTTGTAGAATCTTTCTCATTTTCATTTGGTTAATGTAGTTCTGATATGACCACAGAGGAAAAATGCCATTTTCCTCTTACCATATCAAGGAAGGACACAGACCATCAGTCTAATTTCTGTTTATGTAAACACTGATCACTTGGTTGAGGTAGTGTCTGTGCTTTTCTCCCCCTTAAAGGCATTATTTTCCCTCCTCTTTTCAATACTGTACTTTATGGAAGACTGAAGGAATTGACAGTTATATTTCCTCTTCCTAAGGGCAGAATGTTTAAGTAAATTACTTGGAATTCATCTGTACTGGGAGTTTGTTTATTTCTTTATTCAGTCAGTTATTTATAGATATGGAATCATGTACACATTGACATGGAATCTTGGACATTAATTAAAACTTTGGCTTATAATCTATTTTGTTTATTTATTTATTATCTTAAATTGTTCCAGCTTTGGCCATAGGGAGCACTTTAACTCCTGTGTGCAGTTGACACAGCTCTAATATAACTGGGGGGGTGTAAATTTTTAATCACTTCTTTACTTTCATGCACTATGGGATGCTCAGGTTCATCTTGTGTTATTTCTTCCCTAGTCCTAGAATCAGCCATTTCTGCAGAGTGCTTTAGTTCCTTCTCCTGAAGAATGGTGTTATATAAACCACCGTCTGGTAACTGGGCATCGTATCATATTTTCTTAAGTAAAACAAAAAGACTAATAATTCTTGAATTTCTACAATACTTGGCACAAGAGGTAAGCAAATATTTTCCATAAAGGGCCCAGGCACAAATATCTTAGGTTTGGGAGCTGTGTGAACTTCGTTACTACTACTAAACTACTTTTGAAACAAATAAAAGAGACATCCATAGACAATATGTAAATAAAGCATGCAGTTGTGTTCTAATAACATTTTATCTCAAAAACAGGTGGCTGCCTTGGACCCATGTTCGATGGTTTGTTTACCCTGGTGTAACGTCTGTGTGTGGGGTTTGTATGTTATACGTGGAGGAGACTGTGAGAGCAAGGGAGACGGGGAGAATGAGGGGGAGGAAGAAACAGAAGGAAGAGGAGAGACAGAGAAAATGAAAACAACCTTGAAGAGCCAGGAATATAGCTCAGTGGCCTAAGTGCCTGCCTGGCAAGCGCAAGGTCCTGAGTTTGAGTCCCGGTACCAAAAAAAAAAAAAAAAAATCCTTAAAGAGAGATACAGATTGAGCTCAAGTGATCTGTTTAAAATGCCAATGTGCTCACCACTGTCTTCCCATCAGTGACTCCTCAAGTTATTTCAGAAGTTCTTCATATTTTCCATTTCCAGCTTTCAGAACATAGCAGACTGTCTTATGTACAGACTAATTAGCTATCCCTCAGGATGAAAGTGTAACAGTGATGCTGTTCTGTGGGTCACATCTCAATATGAGCCTCTATCTTAGTCATACATTAAACAGTTATATCCTTTAGTTTATTAATAAAAAGATCAATCTACTAAAAAAAAGAGACTTACTGAAAAATGTTGTTGGAAAGAGTCGTTCAAAGTAAAGACATGCTGTAACTAACATGGTTATGAGTGGCTATATGTCTGTGTAACTCTGTAATAAGGAGCTCTCATTTGGCAGCAAAAGCTAGCAGTGAAGATGAAAAATTTAACAATTGTGTTCTCCAAAGTCTAACAGAGGGAAATGAGGAAAGATGGATATGGTAATTTAAAGATAAATGTAAACTCATAAAGAAAAGGCAGCATGAGAATCAAAGAAAACTTAGCAAACTTAAATGTGAATCGGGGTGCTCCTTTATATAATTTAAGTCACTTCTGGGTCAGATACTTTCTCTTTTATTGATTCTGTCTCCTCCGGATCATTTTTGAATTATTTCCCAGCTTTAAGCTCTCATACTCCACAAACTCCTATATGAATGTGTAGTTCTGATCCCTAAATTCATTGAACAAAGGATGTCTTACCAAGGCAGGCCAGCTATTAGAAATAAACTACCTTTGCTTACAAGGTTACCTATGGAATATATTTTCTCCTTCAAACTGTTATAAGTCATATGTAATCAATAGAGTACTGAAAAAAGATAATGTATTAAAGATAAATCACACAATATTTCTAGAGATGTTTGCCTTTTTTAGGACATAACAACTCTCCTATTATTGATCATACATTTTTCTAATTGTTCAACAATCTATTCTCTAGTATACCAGTGATCTTTCTTAGACTGGTTTAAAAAGACCTAAATCTCTCCCCCCATTAGGCCATTGATCGGTGATGAAGATAAATCTACAGTGGAGTAGTTAAAGAAGACACCAGTTTATATAACTATTGATCATTTGCTATGTGCACTTCTGGCACAAGGACAAAGTCTGTGGAAAAAAGGATTGGAGTAGTGAATTGGAAAATTAGGTAGGAAAGTAATACTCTCAGGCTTTTCTGTGTCTGACTAATGTTTCAAAATATAGTAATAAAATATTACTGTAAGTGGTAGTAATAGCAGTAATGAATCCACAGTTAAGAAAAGAAACTATTCTACATAATTCAATTGCAGAGGGATTTAATGTAGATCAAAGTTGTTGTACTGGGTGGGAGAACAAAAGAGTGTAGGTTTGCTGGACCAGAGACGCTACTTCTCCTGAGGTGTGGGCGTGCCTTGCCGCATTTTGGCTGTTGGCTTAGGCCCTGATGTTACTGTAGCTGAATGTGGATCTGGAAGCCTCATCCACCGAAGGGCCATCTGACACTGCTGTGCTCATTCTGCTGCAGGCATCCCCAAAGGGATGGGAAAATGGCATCATTTTTCTTCCTTTCCCCTATCTCTGAACCTAGAGAGTAAGGGGAACATAATTTGCAACCTTCCATTCCTATTATTTGGGGATGAGCATAAAAGGACAAGAATAGAGCTTATTCCAAGAGGAAAAATAGCCAAAATGTATACAGTATGATAGGCCTTGTTTTAAGTGTACTAAGATAGATATTCATTTAATTTTTATAAAGATTATTGTGATAGATGCTTTATCCCTATTTTACTGATGGGGAAACTGAGGCATAAGGAAGCTAGGTAATATGATCAAATCCACATAGCTACTAAAAGATGGAACTAGGATTTGAACCAGGAAGTATGATTGTAGAGTTGGTATGTGCAGTCCTTGTACTACAATTCAACAAACACAAGTGCTCTGTGCCCTCGTTCTTTTTTCAGAAGGAAATCCAGTCTCTTCCAGGCTTTCTCTCCAAGAGTTTCAGGCAAGTGCTCTACCCCTGAGCTACACCTCTACCCTCCAAGAGATTTAATATGCATTTACCCAGGAATTTAATGTGATCCTTCACTTGCCACTGTCACTTGCCAAGCTAGACCCACGTGGCTCCTCTTCTTCGTGTTCCCAACAACGTCAGTAAGTGTTCTTTACCGTTTTCTCCTGGTCACATTCCTTAAGCCATTGCTGTTGCCACCACTCCGGCACTGATATGAGAACAGACACTGGTCCTGCCCTTTCTCTGCATGTCTAACATGAATATGTCACTTCAAACTGGAACAGGCCTTTAATTTCCTGTCACACAATTAAAGATGAAGTTATAAACACTTGACAATAATTTACTGAGGTCTTAAAACTAAGACAGACTATAAATCACAGCAAATTAAAATTATTATAACAGAAGGCTGCTTTTGGAGTGTACAAGTCCAGGCCCACTATTCGGGAATCCCAGTGGTGGGAACCTCCTGGCCTGATTTCTGGGCTGTCTCTGCTATATGTGGGGTCAGGTTACTCTTATCACCTGCAGTGCTTGTGAGTCATTTTTATGAGAGTCCGTGCATAAGCTTCAGTTCGTGAAGGAGTCCTTTTACTTTAGTTTAAGACTGAGTTTCCCAGACAGTATTTCCTTTCTTTTACTAAGAAAGGGTTCAAAACTTGGGATACGAAAGGGTGACCATATGTCCTTTCTGAGGTATACCAGAGTGCTGTCTAAGAGATCTTCCCCAAGCTTGTCAGATTCCTTAAGATTCTTTTTTATTTGCCTCACTATTTACTATTGATAAAGTTCCACACTCTTGCGCAGTTAGACTTAACCTTTCAAAGACCGTTAAATTGCAAATGATTTTTGTCCAGTTGAGATGCAAATGATTCTGCCTCATAGAAAAAAATATAACCCCAAAGGTTACTTTTTATGGTCCTGGAGGACATTAAACAGTTTTGTATTTAATTTAATGGTGCCATTTCAGCACTATTTTTCCCTTCTGTGACCAAACATACTTTGGTTATAACTGTATACTATTGAACCAGATTAACCTTTGGCTTAATCTTTCATTAAAGCTTTTGACCTGGGCTTATTTTGTGTTTTTCTGAGTTATATTTTTAACTTTCAGAAAATTATACTTTGACACTCTGAGTGGCTTAGTCACATGATTAGTAAAAATGGCAAAGTCCATTTCTTCAGAGCAAATCTCACCATGAGGCTCAGACCCGCCTGGACAACATTACAAATATAGGCCTGCATACAACGTGACTAAATATTTACATGTTATCAATGAGGATTCCAGGCTGTTAAGTGAAATTTATTCCATACTTCTACATTGACCTTCACAGTAGATATACTGGACAATATGTGTTAAGTAAGAATCAGTATCTTTTATTATTGAAGGCAGATAAAATATAAGAATGGCAGAATGTAATTATTGTACAACCCATTCTTGGTTGTTTCATTGAATAGAGAAAGGAAGTGGAATGTTACAAAGAAAAATAAATATCAATAATAAATTACTTTATTCACTTCATGAGTCTTTTCTTTCCTTAATGTCAATGATATTATCTATATTTTATAATAATCAGGGTCTTTACATAGTTTGTAATCTAATGACAGTAACATCAAATTAGACAACTTTTCTGAATCATTATAGGACTTCAAGCTTATTTGTCTCAATAACTTTAGGGAAATATGCCCAGAATTCTTAATAAAAGTGTAAAATAATGTTTCATTCTAACAATAACTCAACAAAACTATATAGTCCAACACTTTAATGGGAGTAATATTTAAAAATTAATGCCTAGAAGAAACGATCATAACAATTTTAATAATTTTATGTTACACATATCAAGATTTTTATCACGTCATAATTCAACATCTAGAACTGAAGTAGTTTCTTGAATTCATGCTAATCTTTCAGGGTTAGGCTATTATGAAGAAAATTTAAATTAGTAATATAATGCTTAATTTGTTCAAGTACCTTCTATCAAGATAATACCTTGAATTTAATCACCTCAGAAATTAATTCTGGTATTTATTTTATGTGAATCTTCCCCTATATAGACATACAAATATTTTCATATACTTAGTTTCTTTATATTTTATTAGAAGGTCATTGTATTGTATATTTGGGGGGTACTGGGAATCAAACTCAGGACCTTGTGCTTACCAGGCAGGCCACTGCAGTACTGAGCTAACCCCCCTACCCCACGTACTGCACATTTCGTACACATTTTTAATTTAGAATTATTTAAAAATACTTTATTTTAAACTGTCTGAACTTGAAATAGCTGACCTTAGATTTGTTTACTTTTTAAAGTTTTGTCAACATTATCAATGGCAAGCAGCAGTTCATACTGAGCAGCATTAGAGAGCACAAGTTCAAGACTTAATTTTCTTTTAAGAACCTATAGCTCACTATTTTTGTTGTTACAACTTAAAAGATTGTTTGAATGTATTTAATACCTTCTTCTATCATTTACTCTGAGCCTAATAGAGATATTTAATGGGATAACCATTTTCTGTAATTAGATTTGTGCACTACGTACACAATAATTTAAACATTCCCAAAGCATCATGTTCAAATTCAAAACATGTTGATCAATAGGGAAGCTTCAAGTTCTTATGACAACAGTAAGACATATGCTATCCCAAAGGCACAGTTTTATAAATATGTACATTCTATGAAACTCTCAGACCTGTTTTGAAATTGGTCAAAGAAGAATTCTGTGCTTAAGTCCAACTCCTAATGATTTATCCTGTTACAATGAAATTCATTTAACAGGAAATGGTTCTGTGTAATAGTTAAATAAGGTGATATACAGAAATGTCACAAACATCTCCCCCAAAACGCAAGAGCTTCAAGGATCTTTTCTTAACATTCTTTGAATTTAGAGTGTGTTTTCATCATTCACATCTTGAGAACTTTCTGTTGTTTTCCTTAACTCTTCTATTTATCTCATTTTCACAGAATGCAGTTGACATTTTTGTAGTGTACTGAGGAGTGGTTAAAAGGTGTCCTTTAGTATTTATTTTATAAAATATTTCAAAAACCATTTCCAGTATGAGCATAGTTGAATTGACATTGCTTTGTACCCATTCAAAGTAGGCCTAAACATAGCACAAAAATGAGCCTAGGTTTTTGGTCAAGTTACAGGATATATATTTTTCATTAGCCACATAGTCAGCACTATTTCATGAGCTTTCCCTTCCCAGTGTTTTAACTAATTTAACAGAAAAAAGTAAACATGTTTGGGGTGAGAATATAGCTCAGTGGCACAAGCACCTATCTAGCAAGTGCAAGGTCCTGAGTTCGATTCCTGGTACCAAAAAAAAAAGTAACCATGTTTTAAAATTTGAATTAAATCTTACACATCATGAAATTAGTACAACTATTCTGTTTTCTGACATTTAGTTTTCAGTTGAGTGCCTTTGCGAATATCTGGTGTCACATTTCACCAATTTAAGTCTAAACAAGCAATGTTTATTAGAAATATAGTGCTACATATGTTACTTTGAAATTTCTATTTGTCATAATGAAAAAAACAAAATAAAAAGTGAAATTAATTTTAATCATGTATTTAATTTTACTCAACAAATCTGAATAATGTCATTTCAACATATAGCCAATATAAGGACCAGGGATATAGCTCAACAGCACAAGCACCTGCCTGGCAAGTGCACGGCCCTGAGTTCAATTCCCAGTACCAAAAAAAAAAGCTAGAAAAAAACATAAAACATACCAAGTGTGGTGGCGCACGCCTGAAATCCCAGCACTCAGGAGGCTGAAGCAGGAGGATCGCTGTGAGTTCAAGACCAGCCTGAGCTACAAAATGAGCTCAAGGCCAGACTGAGCAACATAGCTGGACAATGTCTCGAAAAGCCAAAACAAAACAAAACAAAACAAAACAAATATATATATATATATAACATTATTAAGATCTATTACTTTCTCATTATTAACATGTATTGTACTTTCTTTTAAGATGTATCATTACATTGCATTTATGGTACTTTAGGCCAGCATTAGCTATTAACTACCATATTGTACTGCATAGATAAAAACCAACCTATACTCAAATTGAAGGAGAGAAATATGAAATGTTATATTGTAAATGTAAAATGTCATTTCAACCTCCTTTAGAAATTTTTTTTTTTTTTTTTTTTTGGTTTTTCTCCGGTACCGGGAACCGAACTCACGACCTTGCACTTGCCAGGCAGGCGCTTTTGCCGCTGAGCTAAATCCCCAGCCCCGGCTAAATCCCCAGCCCCTCCTTTAGAAATTTTACATGCACTTCACATTTTGAAGATACTGCTAGAACTACAAATGGGAATAAAAAGCAAGAAAATGATCACTCACTACTCCTGGAAAAGGTACTTCCTCAGACAAGACCTTCTTGCACACCTACAAGAAGGGGTTTGGTAAGTTCTTTTGACATTTTGCTGACCTTTCGTCATGCTTCAGCTCTCAAATAAACAATACCCTTGGAAGTGGGGTCTGTCTCAACCTTCAGTAGTAGCACAATACAAGAACCTGCATACCTAACAGCAGTTATCTTTTTATGGGCATAGGGCAAAGATGTGAAGGAGTCTTCTTTGGACTCGATCAGTATTCAAAATACACAGAATCATCTAAAACGTTAGGTCTACCATTTAATTCTTGGTTAGAGTTCATATAATTATAACCCTCAGTGTCTAGGACTCAGGTCTTCCTATTTTGTGAACTGCCCAAAGAGGAATGCACCATCCTAACAAAAGGAGTAAATATTCAGAAGTAGAACTCAGATTAAAAAGATCCAAAACCATTTCCCTCAAGGATAAGGATAAGCAGAACACTTGCTTTATCTGTGTGCAACTAAGTAATCTAAAAAAATGATTCCCCATCCCCTACAAAGTAATTTGTGCTCCAATGGACTATTCAGATTATACTGAAGTTTTCTCCCAAGTTCCTTTCCAAGCCTCCCTTTGTGATTTTATCTGACCTCAGAATATGATGGACTTTTTTCAAAACTGAAATCTAGTAGTTAATGAGCGATTCTGACTTGTCCCTCATTCATTCATATAAGCTTATTTTATATTGCATCTGGGAAATTCCAGACACTCTTCTAGTTGCTGAAAGTGAAAGTGCAAAACCATTTTTTTAGTCTGCTGCAATGATACATCTTTTTCTGGATTATTTATTTGTCCAAGTAAAAATTTGTCTGTAGACAAGATGCCTTGGGAGCACAGAGAAAGTATCTATTAGACAGACAAGCTGGTATAGCAGCCATTTCCAGTGCTATTTCTCCAGGGCAATGAAAATTAAATTCAGTTCTACATTTATTGGTGACCTTGAGACCATGAATAGCCACAATTCAACTGGGGGTTATACCCAGGTAGAACGCTCTCAAATAATGCACGAAAAAGTCATAGAAAAGAATAAATTCAACCAAATTACAGCTACATCCGTATAATCCTCACCCACTGTCCCTCTTGCGTGCAGCTGCTTATTCTGATGGAAGGATCAATGGATTGCCTGTTGTAGGTAAGTGGCCTCACCACTCCTCTTTATTTATAGGTGAAAGGGTGGATTGAAATTAACCTCATTAAGATTGAAAACAACACAATGGCTTTTCAAAATCAACATTAAGAACACAATTTAGTAACTGGGGACAGCCAACAGAGTAGAAAGATATAAATGTGCTCGTAGGTTTAAATCTACCAGTCCAGAAAATTTGCCAGTGAATCCTGGTTTATGAGGATTTACTAGAGTGACTAAAAATAATAAAGTCAAGGAAGGAAGTCAATAGTATTTATTCTGAATTGCCTAAATCAT